ATGTCCACCTTCGACCGCACCTTCGACCACACCCACCAACACCACCCCGTCGCGCTCGTCGTCGTTGTACTTTGTGTCGTCGTCCTTGTACTTGCATCGTTATCGTTCACTTGTGTCGTCACGTTGTCGACATCGCCTCGGTATTTCTCCGGAACTTAGAACTTTTCCAAAGAAGGTGTTCTCGACCTGCCCTCTATATTTTGCCGACAAGTGTGTGATCACCTGTGATCCCACGCGACGACGTGTTCTGAGATAATCTCTTTTCCTCACCTGCAGGTGTCATGTGTGGGTTCTGTTACACAGGATGAATCGGAATAACAGGTGGTCTAATGTACCACCGAAAAGTTTAGAGACTTAACAACCTTCCCGTTGATTTTAGTAACCACACCATTTGTCCAAGGAGCTTCCTGCACTCCTTGTTGAAACAAGGTCCTCCGAAAAGTTATGGGTCGTCACATGACCAACAGAGCAGAACCCCCAGGCGGTCACACCACTCCTTTTGGTTGTGGACTAGGAGTGATTCACTTCGTAAAGTTGTACACTACGCAAGTCCTCCGTGCTCTATTTCCTCCGGTAGACTCTATGGATCTGACTCTTTTCTCTTAGTTAAGTCGCAAATCCTTTTAGAGGGTGATTATCCTATTTGTCATACCCTCGTAAAACGTGCTATGGATAGGACGTAACTAATGGAGACGGTGAGTTAGTTGTTCTTTGTGTGACACAACTCACTAAAACTGGAAAGAGACAGAAAGAGGGGGGGGGGGAGGGGGGTCCGAACGACAGAGGGGGGTAGTTATCTAATCATCACTCAATGTTCTTTGTAAACCTGTGGAGTGATGAGGCCGGAGCCTAGACGCCAAACTCAAACTATACGCTGCTTCTAATAAACATATTAAGAAACACGTGAGTTGTCTGACTGAACGATATTCCCTTCATTCCTCCGGTGGTACTCACAGCGCTGTTGTTCCCGATGCAGGTGGCCTTCCAGCCTCCGTAGTTTCCACTCGGGTCGCTCTGGTACAGCTGGAAGCCGTAGTGTTTGTCCCAGCCCATGTAGAGCAGAGACACTCCGAAGGGACGCTTTCCTGTGAGAGGACACACAGTTCAGGTTATTTTATGTGTTTCCAAGTATCATTTATAGAAAATAATTTTTTTGAAGTTAAGTACTTTCATATATTTATATTTGAATAACAAAGTACTTTGACATTACATCAGATCACCTGTTGACATCACTTTCCTTGGACCATGTTTTAGATGTTATTACAAAACAAGTATTCCACATTTATTTATGTTGCAACTAATTTTAGTTTTGATTATTTAAACTTGAAGATTCCCATAATACAAAACAGTAAAGACTTTGTAACATGAAAAAACAAGGCAATACATTTTAAAGTGCAAGATCGTTGAGGAATATTCCCGTTTATCTCAACCTGCGCTCACTACATTTCTAATTTAATGTTGTGCTCTCAATTTACAAGAACATATTACAATAACCTTAAAAGTGCCAAATGTAAAGACTTTAGATCAGTGTTTCTCAAACTTTTTCATACCAAGGACAACTTAACCAATAAAAAAAAAACACTCGCGGACCACCTGACTCCACAAATATCCAAAAACAATAGGCCTGCTTACCACTCCAACAGTTTATAACAGCCTATTAATGACAGCTTAACCTTCTCTGCATCGCCTCGTTCACACAATAAATCAACAATACAAATACAACTACAGATTATATAAGCATTTCGTTCAAATGCGATTTAAAATGCTCTCGGGTTTTAAACTTCTTATGAAATGAAGACTACATTTATTACGGAGTTTATGTCCAACAGACTCACAGATCGTTGGCTACTGAGAGATATGCAAAAGACACCGCATGTAGTACGACACAAACCTATGGTCGCAGGCCCAAGTTGAACTCTCTGAGGTCTAAGCCATCTTTTCACGTTGGGCTCGTCTGGGCTTTTTTTCTAAAAATGCTATTAAAACATGAACCTTGGTGACCGTGGGGCTGGCCTGCATGGTCTGCCTACAAAACAAATAAAAAACGTTTTTGCCGCCCAAACAACAGCCTCTGATTCATCAACAGACTTCATGCAATGCTTCATTGGATGCATATATTATAATATCTATCTCACTCCTAACACATCTAAATCTACTTTCAGCATGGATAAATGTTCATGAAATACATCCATTGTTTGTTTTATATGCTTCTTGAAATCCTAAAAAACACGTCGGATCACAAATCGCCTGCAAATGGTACAAACAAGTGGCAACATGTGTGACGAAGGTGTTGCGCTGGGCTATATCATGCAATCGAAAGTGAAACTTAAGCTCGCTTCATTGCGGAGATATTCCCGCGAGAGTGCGGAAAACTTAAATGTATTTATTTATTTCAAATGTGAAATGTTACCAATATACTCACGGACCACACTTTGAGAAGCACTGTATTAGATTGACAATTATGAGACAAATAGAAAACAGTTTGCTAAATATTGAAAAAGCATCATTTAGCCACTGTATAGATTCTCTCAAAGGATGATCTCGATCTCATCAGGATCTGAACGGCATGCAGATTAAATATTCTTCTGTTCAGATGCAAGGTGCTGCTCTGTACCTCCAAACTGAGTGTAGGCCTGTTTGATGTCACACAGCGCCGTGACCAGCTGCTCGCAGGGGATGGGCTCCTGGTACTGCAGCAGGTACCTGAAACACACAGATCATCACACTTATATCCACACTTTAATGTTGTCCCATGAAACACAATTGGCAGCAGCACAAATGTAGAAGATGGTCTTTCTGCCTGGATCTTACCTCTGTGCTATAAGTCTCAGCTCATTGGTCAGAACGTTGGCATCTGAAGTGATTCCTGCAACGCTGCACGCCATGTCTCTGCAAGGAAATGGAGAGATCCTCAGAATAAAAGCTAAATTGCAGCGTCTATATATTTGATAATGTAATTGTGGAACAAAGGGCAGGCAACTGAATATGGTTTAAAAAAAAAATATATGTTATTAAAAGTTTCATGAGATGCCTTTCCAAAGTTGAAGATCTGTAGAACTTGCACACTAATAGAATTTTAAGAAATGACTTTAGTTTGAAGCAGAAGTCACTCACTCGTTTAGTTTGTAGATTTTCTCTGAGAAAAACACTTCGTCCAGCAGCTTGTGAATGTTCCTCCTCTCTGCAGCCAGCAGGACTCCGTCATTGGCTAAAATCCCCAGGCAGGTGCCGGCGTGACCAATGGCCTCCATGGCATACTCCACCTGATACAGACGGCCTGAAAATAACAACACAGAGCTGTGAGGGTCGGGACGTGAGCAATCAGCACTAAGAGGCGGGACTTTAAAAGAATGTGCTGCATGCTCCTTCTTTAAATGAGTAAAGGTTGAATGACAAATGTATTAAAAAGGTCCCCTATTATACTGTGTTTCATCAATATGTTACAGGTCTCAGATATATACAAAACATGTCTCTGAAGTGTTTGGCTCCAAACACCAAACAGATCATTGCAGCATTACCCATAATCCCCTCTGTTTCAGCCCTGTTTCCAAAGTGCTGATTCTCTGTCTGTTACTTTAGATGAATATAAGGAGCCCCTCCCCACGCCCCTCTGAGAGATATTTGGTTACAAAGAACACAATAGGCGCTTTCACACCGGAGTACTTTTCCCGTTTAGTTCCGTTAGTGCCTGGAATTTTGCGTTCACACCAAAAAGAGAACTTAGTTCATGAGAAGTTTTACCCCCCGTTGTAGTCCCTGCTAGAGAGGTGGTACTATCCAGAGAAGAAATAAGCACCAATTTTTGATTGGCTGGGCGGATTGCAAACCACGCCCCGTAAAACTCTGAAAAGTTTTGTGAAGCCGCCATTGTATTTTCTGTCATTAGCATTATTAGCATTAGCCCCGTGCACCAACGGAGAGAGACTAACTTATGGCAACACAAACAAAAACATGGGAGCGGTGGACTCCGGGTGGCAGTATACGCCGTGAAGTTGTTTGAGGCCTGCCAGTAAACCCAAAGCAGAAGAAGAAGAAGTGACGTCAGCGGCTTCATTTGCCTAATCCTCTCCCAGGGACTTATTCCGTTGTGAACGAGATCTGTACTTAGTTCATGAGAACTAAAGAGTTCTCATTAACTAAGTTCTCATGAACCTTTGTGGGAAAAGTACTGCGGTGTGAATGCGCCTATTGTCTCCTCCCAGTTGTGTGAAGTCCCTACTTCAATGTTCAACAGAGAAGTCAGTGAGGCAGCTACTGTCATTGGCTGGGAGATTCTTGAGTCACGTCCTTGTTCTTTGGTAAACTGAGCAGCTCCTGGATCCTCTGCATGTCCTCATTGGCTTCCTCTGCCCTGAGAGCCCACGTTCAGATCTCCGATCAGTTCTTCTGTCACGTTCAGTCAGTCCGTCCTTCAAGGAAAAAGAAGGAGAGGGACAGGTGACTTGAGGATAACACAGACTTTGAATTAACATTTTTAGTTTTAATGCTAATATCCTATAAAAAGTGTAAAAATAATGTTAAAGTCTTCTGATATATCTCATCATTCTGCGAGTTTAAGATCGTACAGTTCCCCGCGCTCTCTCCTCCTTCGGTCTCTGGAATTGTCTCCTGCCATCGACTGCATGCCGACGATCAGAGCGCCGCTGGGCATGCAAATATAAAAAATATATGAGAACACAATACCAAGCAGAACACAAATCTGTATACTTCTAATGTGTGGGCACACCAGGTGATACATATGTGTATGTAACATCTATGGTTGACACTTTCCTGGACATCTCAACACTGAGGACACTGGGTATGTAATAGATTCCTGAAACACTTCCTGCTATAGTATAATCTGTTTGCAACACATCCAGCGTTCACATGTGAGCAGCTACTTTATTGCCAACACATTTAAGCTGTCTGTTATTTGCACCCTTGTAATAAACGAGTGGCATATCCCCTCATTGGTGTTTCACAAAGTCACGCTTCCCTCTGCCATGTGCCCCGGACGAGAGGCCGAATCTGGGCTGAGATCTGGAGCGTGATGTGCTTTACGATTAGCTGCCTGCTTTCATCTGGCCCTCTTCGGTCCCCACTGCACCTGACGGGGCCGAGGCTGTTTGCACACATCAGACGCTCCAGGTGGCCGGTCACTCAGGCAGACAGCGAGGAGAGGAGGAAGCCATGAGAGTGTGTAGCCAGCAGGAGAAACAGAGCAGGGCTGAGCCAAGTGATGATCACAGAGAAGACCCAAACCAGCCCCTCCAGTCTGTTACACCATCAAACACCTCACACTCATTCTCCATTACACAATCAGATCCGCTCTTGGCTCTGTGCGCTCGGCAGAAAGCTGCCAGAGGAGCGAGTGAAAGTGGGACAGAGAGAGAAGAAAGGGTGGAGGAGGGGGGGTGAAGCATAAGTCCAGATCAGAGCATGGTAGAGTGAGATGAGATGCTGGAATAACAGAGATGGTAGAGTCGGAGCAGGCCAGCTGCTGCCTTGGCCTGCCTCCTTGCTCTAGTACCCAGAACACGGCCCTCTGCGGTGCACATGAGTCCCTCTGGCCCTGTAAACAGAGAAGAAGGGGGGGTGGGGGTCCAGCTGGGCGACAGAGGGTTGCTGGGAGGGGCGCAGCTGGCTGCCAGAGTGCTCTCTGCTCTCAGGCACGAACGTGGGCACGAGCAAATACGCATTGCAGCCTTTGACAATGTAACTCACGTGTGAGGAATGATTTAGAAACGTTACTGTAACAGGTGGATGTGTTGGACACTTGTGGAAGCAGAAGCCTTACCCCAGTACCGCTCCGATGACGGTCCCTGCCAGCAGCCCCCCCGGGCCCAGGTTCAGCCTGAACAGACCTCCAGTCACAGCTGCTCAAACACACACACACACACACACACACACACACACACACACACACACACACACACACACACACACACACACACACACACACACACACACACACACACACACACACACACACACACACACACACACACACACACACACACGACACGACACACAACACAACACCAACACACTACACACACACACACAACACACACTACTACTACTACTACCTACTACGTACTACACACACACACACACACACACACACACACACACACACACACACACACACACACACACACACACACACACACACACACACACACACACACACACACATCTTCATCATCATCATCATCATCATCATCATCATCATCATCATCCATAACTTAATGTGCTGTTATATTCACTGTCTGTGTTAAAACAATTTGTCATCTGGTTGAATGAGGATTATAAAAGTGTCACTACTATGGTCAGTAACAGACATTCTACCAATCGTATCAACATTTGGGAAGCCGAAGATGGCATCCATGCATATTGGAAACAATTATTTCTTTAAATAGTACAATTCAATTGTCAGGGCAGTGGATTCATGAAGTAATGCATTTTATTTATCAATGGATGGACATTGTTATGCATTACTTACAAAACTGTAGAAGACAGATGACAGGATATGAGGTGAGAGAGAGTGCAATAAAAGGCCCTCGACTTGTGAACTGGTGCCAGTAACATCGTAATGATGACGTTGACATGACTCTCAGACAGAGATATGGGATTGTGACGAGAGCGCTCTGTCTGCTTTTCCTGCACAAATAACATAAAAACATTGCGACTCACCTCCAGCTGCGGCATAATGGCTGAGTGCGTTCTTGTCCCGGTAGACGGACAGCCCCGTGCTGACAGAGCTATAGAGGTAAGGAAACAGACAAGGGATGAGGGAGAGGAACCAAGCCATTTAAGGACATTTTGAACATGAAATTGACTGCTACACACTTAGCAGCAAGTTGTTGAGCCTGTTACTGTTGGCTCTGACTCCCATAACTTGGAGCCAAACAAATAAACATGCCTTTCTGGTATTTCAGTTGAGAGGAGAATAACCGGAACTAATTCAGCTTTGTTGAGTTTCTTTGTAAACAACAAAATGTTCATTCAATGAATGATGTGTCTGCTTACTTGAATAACGTGACGAAAGCAGCCACTCTCCAGCTCCATCTCCATCCATATCTCACAAATCCTCGGATTGCTGCATTATGGGCTGAGCGCTGATTTGGACAAAAACCAGAAGGTTGAAAGTTATTACCATGATGCTATAAGATTAACTATGCAAATATCTCCCTGTAGTGCAGTCTTTTTTTACTAGAACATAATCAGCAAGGATTACGAGCAGAGTCAAAATGTACAGGACTCGGAATTATCATCACAAAACTAACTGATGAGTGTGCAAATCAAACAGTGAGGAATATTAGACAACGGAGGTTACAGTTACTTTACTCCTTATACCTGACCTTGACTTTGTACACCTTTGTTGCAGAGGTGGGAAGCAGTGGAGTACAAATACTTTGTTACTGTACTTAAGTACATTTTCTTGGTATCAGTACTGAACTCCACTACTTTTTACTTTGACTTCTTACATGTTGAACACAAATACCTGTACGTTCTACTTCTTACATGTTGAACACAAATACCTGTACGTTCTACTTCTTACATGTTGAACACAAATACCTGTACTTTCTACTTCTTACATGTTGAACACAAATACCTGTACGTTCTACTTCTTACATGTTGAACACAAATACCTGTACTTTCTACTTCTTACATGTTGAACACAAATACCTGTACGTTCTACTTCTTACATGTTGAACACAAATACCTGTACTTTCTACTTCTTACATGTTGAACACAAATACCTGTACGTTCTACTTCTTACATGTTGAACACAAATACCTGTACTTTCTACTTCTTACATGTTGAACACAAATACCTGTACTTTCTACTTCTTACATGTTGAACACAAATACCTGTACTTTCTACTTCTTACATGTTGAACCCAAATACCTGTACGTTCTACTTCTCACATTTTCCAAACAGGCTGGTTCCTTTAGTCTGAATGTGTGTTTGGTGGCGTGATCATTATTATTTAGAGTCATTGCGTGCCTATTGATTTGAACACGATCCGTGTATCCATCATTTCCTGGTCTTCTCTAAAGAAGAGGGACCAATGGAAACGTTGTCATGTTGCCGTTGTTCAGCATGGAAACATTCATTAGCTAACAATGACATTATTGTTCTATTCATATAAAGGGAGGTCAGGTACTCTTTAAAACAGCTGCTAGTTACGGGTACTTTTCAGTACATTTCAAAGCCCATACTTAGGATAGGATGTGTTTACTTTTGCCATCTCTGTTCAGCAGTAGAGTTAATGACACTTCCAAACTCAGACAGTCCCCTCGTCCACTCACCACTGCCTCCACTCGGCTGCTGTAGAGCTCTGCCTGGCTGATCTGGATGTAGCTCTGCCTGGCGTGGCGGGCTGCAGGCAGGCCTCCGTACAGCATGCCGGCCAGGCCACCCACCACCCCGCTCTTTATCACGCTGGTCAGCTCCTCAGGGTACATGTGTTTCGCACTGCAGGGAGACAAGAGATCCACCTCCTTTAACACACAAATCAATGCTGTGTTTAGAAATAAATAACCTCAAGAAGTTCTTTATAAACTAAATCGGATCATTCACAGAGTTTATTCAACTTAACAAGAGCTTTTGGTAGTAGTAGTAGTAGTAGTAGTAGTAGTGGTAGTAGTAGTAGTAGTAGTAGTAGTAGTAGTAGTGGTAGTAGTAGTAGTAGTAGTGGCCGCTACCATACTTTCTATAGTCAACAAACTAAAAAAACAGCGTGAAAAAGATGGTATTAAGCTGTCCTTCCATAATGTTTTGACAGTGAAATTACATATTTAATGCATTCAATGATTTCGCTTTTTTACTACTGTGTGCATAGATTCTCCATTTGAAAAACAACAGCAACAAATACAATTGTTATAATAAATATGATGTAATGTCTCTATGATAGTATGAAAGACTCTAGTTCGAATCCACTCGTTCCTAGTGGTCCTTCTCTGTTTTGTCAAGGACGAATTATTGAACAGTGTAAATCCTTGTGTATTCTTAAACATCTGTATACTCCCTTTGTCCTAAAGGTCAGATGTGATGCTAAACGCTTAAATACAAATTATGTAATTGATTTTTGAAACCCCAAATGTGCTAAGCATGCACAAACAACCGGTCATTCCTCACGAATGTTGTCGTGGAGAGAATAAGCTTCAGGAAAGTTTGGTCTGTGTTTATTGAGTAGCAGACATTCTGAATGTGTGTGTGTTTTTATAACGGCCGTGTCAAAAATGACCATCCAAAATACTGTATACCTCAGTGGTATTTCAAGTTAAAAAATATTCTTAGAGATAGCTGTATGACATAGCGGGTCACTTGACTTAAGACAACACAAAAGACAAGTGAAAGAACAGAAGACAAGTCATGAAGGAACAGAAATACCAACTCCATTTGAAAGAGGTCTTTGATGCGGTCCCATCCCGTGTCTGTTAATTCTGGCCTGCCCATGTTGCTCCACATGGCGCTGGGAGAGGGGATGGGTGGAGGACTGGTTGAAGAGGAGGAGGAGGAGGAGGCGGAGGAGGAAGAGGAAGAGGGCATCTGTGCGGGCTGGGCAGCAGCCACATCAGCTGCATGGACCCTGGGGAGCAGGAAGCAGAAGGGAGGAGGCCTGGCGCTCTGGAGGAGGCCCTGCAGTAGGCCGGTGCTCCACGTGCCCCCGGGGGGTGAATCTGCCCGTCTCTGTGGGGCGGGGCCCGGTCTGGGCTGCTCTGGATACATCACGCTTCAGCTGGCAGAGAGGGAGAAACACACGGCCGTGGGTTGGGATGTTGCACACTGTCTCCATTTAAAATCTAAATAAACAGCCTGAGGGCAAATGTAATCCTGTCAGGGCACAGGCTGTCCAACTCAGCAGCTGTTAAATGGTCCTACCAAAAACACACTGGGCTCACAAGCAGCCTTTCTGGGAAAGCGTTTCTTTATGGACTTTAAAATGATGTTTCATGCACTGCTGCGACCCTCAGGTCCTCTGAGCAGGGTGGGCTGGTCCAGGAACAAACATTACTAAAAATGTTGCTGTATATTAACAACAGAAGTGCCAGAAAAATGCCATATGATAATATTTGTCTTTTGGTCTTGTAGTCCAGTTTGTTTTATATCATATCACTTTTTGTTCTGTCCTGTGAGGATCCCTTATTTCTAATGACATTGTGTCTTAAAAAATGGATTACTCACACAAAATGGATTAAGTAACATCACATTTTGATAATCAATTTTAACGCTATACTTTTGTCCAATTCAGGCACAAACATTGCTGCTCACAGCTTCACAAATGCAGGTGGATATGTTTATTTTGATAAAGTAAAAGTAGAAATACGACGGAATAAAAAGACCTGCATTAAAATAATATGTATGAGTACTTAAACTTATAGTAGCAAAAGTAATAGTTATGCTTCATGCGATTTAGGATGTTCAACTTAATGCTGCAGCTAGTAAAGGTGGAGCCAATATATATATATATTGCCAGTTAGCTCAAAACAACATTGTGATTTTAATTTAGTTTTAATAATCTAGATCTGCTAAATAACTAAAGCTTAAAAAGTGCCTCTGTTGGCTTTTGTTATACATCCTTTGAAATAATATACTAGATTTATTTTTGTTCTATATGTTTAACAAATGTGTCATTTTATAAAATACATTTCTAACTGGCTAAATATTCCAAAAGGTTAATACAAAATGTAAACAGTCAAACTGTCCGATAAAGGGAGCCTCACGTTAACACCAGTCTATGGTCAACACTTAGCATGCTATTAGCATCTGTAATATTTGTGATATAAATGAAGCATCTTACCAGAAAGCAGCACAGAAATGATCACTCAAAAAGCGTTTGTTTTAAGTAACCAAACCGTAGTTATGGTACACGAATTCCAGATAGTTTACACATTTCTGTTTTTAATAATTTAACCTCCTGTCGGATGCTTCAAAACGGTGACTTTCCCATAACCTGCCGGTGTTCCGACCTCGGAGTCCATAGCGACACAAACTACAGCGCCCCCTGCGGTGGAGGAGTGAACAACACTCTGCATGTGGAAAGCTACTACACGGTCTTAGACCACATGAAAAAAACGCTTTTAATATTAGTCAAAGTCAGGATATTTAATAAAACAAAACAAAGATTTAACATTGTATTCAGATCATGACTTCAACATCAATTTCGTTTTTAGAAATATTGCAAATGTGTGCATATCTCAGACGTTCTACTTTCTATGAGTTCATAGATACCAATTGATTGCAGTTGCAGTTTCTGAGATACACACATTTTATAACACACACTGTATTAGTTTCTGTGTATATGGGACTACTGTAATTCCTATAATATATAGTAAACAGTAGTTCCATCATGTGCCCATGTATGATAAGAAAAACTCTTTAAAGCTGGTTTGACCCATTTTTAAATGTCAAAATTAGAGTTGCAGACAGAAATGGTTTAAGAACTAAACCGTTTATTATTGGCATAAAAACAAAAATCCTGCACCTCACACTTAAACCGGATACCTCTTCACATCTTTCTGGTCGCATCTATTGTGATAGTGATCTTCACTTTAATAGTGTCAAAAATAACCTTACATGGGTGAGAATCAGCTTTTATGCATTACAATGTAAATATTACAACATATTCAACATGATCCTGCATCAGCTACACACCGTCTATCATCTCTTAACACACATTCTTTTCAAAAGGAAAAAACAATTAGTGTTTCTTGGAAACTCCATGGATCAAAAATATATTCATTATTGCTTACTGCTGGCACTTGGAATGAAATGTTGAAGGAAAAAAATCTAAGCATAATTGTTCAACAAGTAAAAGCATGTTCTAATGACACTTGGTAAAGGGATGCTGTAGTTACCCAAGATGTCCAGTAGAGGAGAGTGTAACAAATAGATTTTTGACCATTACATTACTATTAATAGGGATTAAATATGGAATTTTAGCTCATGGTTCTCAGTGTTTCCCATATTATTCAACATACTAGAAGGCCACTTAATGACAATGCAAAAAAAAAAGTTCTTTATGGGGCTTAATCCTCCCATTGGTAGACTGCATTAGATATGTAACTACATGGCATGTGTAACTATTATTATTATCTTTATCGGTACAACTTTTGTAGATATTTAAGCAGCAGACAAAAGTGACATAAAGAATTTAAAACCAAAGATTTATGATATCCAAGATGATGATTATAACTCAATTAAGTCACATTTTACAGCGGCTTTTGGAAAGTGGTTTGATTTGATGTGAAATCTGGGACCTACGTGTTGCCTTTAAAGTAGAATGATGTGGTGGTGTGTGATTACAATCATGTTTGAGAGTCCTTCACTGCAGAGCCTCTCATAGCTCCGTCCTGCCTGCTCTGTGCACGATCTGGTTGTAGTTGCTATTTAGTTTTGGTTGGTAGGTGAGGAGACTGCTGAAATCAGTGAGGAGTCTCTCCCAGTAGCAGGAAACGTCTTTCATCCGCAGGTGCTCCAGGATGAACTCCTTACCCCTGTGACGAGGCAGGAAAACACACAACTACAGTCAGTGTGCCGTTCGCCGTTATCTCACTTTCAAACACAAATGTTAAAATATGTTACCTTGAGGCGATCTCCTGTGCAATGTCATCGTTCTCTTTGACAAACTGTAGCAGTTCCCTGAGGAGAGAGAACATGTAAAAGACATATCAACGTTTAGCGTGCCTACAAAGGAGATTCACACCTTCATATGTGAGAACTCACACCCTGAGAACATAAATATAAATGCCTTTAGTGCCAAATACATTCATTCAAGAACCGACCTGGACATTTATGATCTTCATTAATCAGTCACACGTCTGGGACTATCAGGTTTTACGACTGTAACACCTTCACATGTATGATTACATAGCGCTGACATGCATCAATCTTGTATCACGGATTATAGGCTTTTTAAATATTACAAAAGAACCACAAAATATAAGTGGGGAAGCGGCTTTTATCCATTACACTGCCAAACATTTTTAGAGACACATTTTAATGACAACTGAAAACATATATTTTCTTTAAACTCAGTCTGCAATTTGCAATATTCCACTTCTACTGCTCTTTTTAAAAATGTTTTTATGTAATGTATTTATAAATGTTGTCTTATTGTTTTCCTACTCTTTACTGAGAGGGTTATCTGTTGTTAACTTTCTGATATTTATTTCACCAGTGAGGTGTTGTTGATGTTGTTGAACAAAACCTGAAAGTCCCTTCAGCGTGTGTCAAACACAGACCTGGGGTGTTTCTCAATGTCGAGGACGCTTCCTTGGTAGGACATGTCTTCCGAGTCACTTCCTTCCAGATGCGTGGCAAGAATCCTTCCTAGCCACGGAAAACGAAGAATGGTGGAACAGGCTAACAGGTGTGCGTCATATAGGCCCCGCCTTAAATGGAGCGTGATATCCGCCAAAGATTTGGAAATTGGTCCGTGCGCAAAGCATTGTGGGGATTTTAAGACCGCGGAGGATACACATGTGCAGCCTCGAAATTTCTCGCTACGAAGGACGCCGGGCTCGGTAGAATTCCAAGTATGCTGGACATTGGAACAGTCCTTCTGCGGGACTCGATGACGTAGCATCCTTGAAATAGTAGCTCTTGAGCATCCTTCCTTGACATTGAGAAACACCCCTTATTTTCGACATCTGACCACAAACTTTATCAACAAGGAAATGTCCCACAATATACCTGACATCCGATAGGTCCTGCTGCACGGGGATGTAATGGACCCAGGGCTGCAGCTGAGGGTAGAAGAACTCCTGCCATTCATCCCCAACATGGAACACCAGAGCCCCGCAGAGGAAGAGGTGTTTGAAGCGGAAGCTGGCCGCCACGCCTCGGAAGTTGAATAAATATCTGTAGGCGGATAGACAAAGACAGGGGAGATGGTTGAGATAGCCCACAGATCAAATTAGCATTATCTTTCCAGACCGTCAGTAAATCTTAAAACGTCCGTCATTCAAAATCCTGCTCACTTGTATTTGCAGTGATCGACCAGGGGGATTTCTTTGGCAGGGGGTCTCCCCAGTGTGTCCTAACACAGAGAGGAAAACACAGGTTGGTAAATAATTATCACAGACTTACAGATTTCACTTTTGATTAAATATAAAAGTAAAGAATAAAAGGGTACAAATAGAAAAAACGGCTGTGTTTTTCTGTCCTGAAGCTTTCTACCTAACCATCGTTACACAGGAAGGGTCAAAATAAGGCAGATATTTGATATTATGTTTTATAATCTGGCTCTTAAATGAATTCCAACACATTTTTGAAAGTTAACTGTAAGCGCTTTCTCATAGTAGAGTATACTTATTATTTCACTAATAAATCAGATCTGTTGGTGCTATAATAACCCAAATGATGTTTGCTTACAGCATTTTACAGAAGAGTTACTAATTCAAATAAACATGTCATTCTTTATAACCTACATTTTGAGCACTTGATTCCAAATCCAAGAACTTGAACAACTTGGAAACACCACATCAACAATCCGAATGTTTTCAAGGATTTCCAGCACCCATAGGTTCCCTGCATTATGTGTGTATGGACCCAGGTGTGTTTACTGACCCTTTCAGACTTCCAGGCCTGGTTCTTGGTGTACTCTGCGTCCACCAGCTCTGGAGCCTCTCTGGAGAGGAGGATCAGAGGGTCGCGCTCTGCACTGGTTCTATCAAAGTCAAAGAAATATACAGAAGAGAATGACTTTAGAGGAGGTGGGAACTTTGCTGCTAACTGTGGTAAGAAGATAGTTGAGTAAAGGGTTTTTGAGTGACATTAAAACATTTGGATTTTTGTTCAAGTCTCAAGACTGACCTGGAGCCTCTGAAGAATCCTCTGGACTCTTTCTGATTCCACGGCCACTGAGCTGCAGACCTAGCACAACACATCACATGGTTAAAGCACACTGAAGTGATACTGTGCTGCAAATTATTGTTATTTAGGCGTTCCATTTATCAATTTCTTGAATTATGCCATTACAAATGTTTTTTAGACATCTGATTAAGTGGATCAAACTGCAACAATCGTTAGACTAGTATTATTTTGATGTTAAAACCTAAAGAGGAGAGAAAATAAAACGCTAAATCGTACTTTTTAAGGTCGTCCCTCATCAGGTCCCATCGCCCCAGTCCAGTGGGGTATATGGGCCACACGGCAGGCCCCCCCTCCCAAAATGTCCACGCAGGGTACATGATGTCCTGGTAGTCTGCCGTCTACACAAATCAAACATACACGTATCAAATACCAGTAATTGTATTTAATAAACTGTGTGTGTGTGTGTGTGTGTGTGTGTGTGTGTGTGTGTGTGTGTGTGTGTGTGTGTGTGTGTTCACATGTAAATGAAGCTACTGTCTGACCTTACTGAAAGAGAAGACAGGCAGGGTGGGCTTCACCCAGCTGGGGACTTGTGGGTAATCTCTGACATTCACCACCATCTCCAGGTCAGGTAACCTGTCAATCACCTCCAGGATGAAATGCTCCACCCCACTGCACCTGGAAACAGAACAGATGTATAGACTGATCATATATTCTCTTTTAGTCAGCTTACACTTGAGGGCAAAGTGTTCTTTCCCCCACTGAGTCCAATACAAATGTGAAATGTCTCTCCTCACCTGGCAGGAAACATGCAGTTGCGTTCTCTGTACAGCTTGTGTCCGATGATCTGGTAGTGTGTGCCCACGCCTCTCTGAACAGTCGCAGCCATGACATCCTCGGAGATGAATCCTTTAAAAGGCTGCAGGTCACCTTGAAGGACGCTGAAAACCGACAGAATTTAAAAAAAATCCAATTTAGTAATACAAAATGTAACTGGCACAGTAGTTATGAAGCAATATGTCCTAGACACATTGTCCTCTCACTCACCTCAGATGGCAGCTGCAGTTGACAGGATTGCATGGAGTGTGTTCTTTCACAGCATCAGAAATTCTGTCTCTAATGTTCTTCCACGGTTGGCCTGAAATAAATGCA